TAATGCGGCAGGTTGCACTTAGGTACCATTAAGGTGGCTGGGTGATGCTAGACTTAGGTATTAGGGATATTTATGTAGTTGCAAATATAATTTCAAAATCTTAATAAAGTACTAGTGTGACTGCTTATATGATAAAAAAAAAAAAAAAAAATTAAATTATTTAAATTTTATAAATTATTTTTTTTTTATCTTTTTATTTTTTTTATTAAACTAATCTCTTTTGAAGTTGGGATTTTTTATTTAGTAATTAGAATATAGAAACTTATAGCCAAGGCCTCAAAAAAGTTATCTTTATATTTGAAAGTATAATTAGTCACATATATACTTTTGGTATTTAATTTAAGTAGTTTGCTAATAGTTCTATACTAGCTGCTATATCTGTAATTCTCTAATATATATGCCAATTAAAAAGGTTTAAATACTTATTTGTATCTTCAGAAACATTATTACTAAATTTTTTTATATTTTATATATAGCTAACCTAGTTTTATATAACACATTATAGCTATCTAATACTTGCAATTAGGGCTAATCTTAAACTGCTATATTACATTATTTCTATTTTTGTAAAGTTTACACAAATTCTAAAAGTTATCTTTTTAATATTTTCATTATTCTTTACTAACTGCAACTCAGAACTGACAGACTCTTCAAACTTCTAATTCAGATAACCTAGTATAATATATTTTAGTATTCTTTTCTTCTAGTAATTCTGATAATCTGGTTAGTTATATATTTTTTTACATATCTTTGTTATTTAATCTATTCCTATAACGATATTTTGTGAACTTTTATTAGTTCAATAACATTATTGAAAGTTTGTTCTATCTCTTTACTTAAGAATTTCTAAATAAAATTCTGTTTCTTTAGTTTCTTAGTCTTCTGCATCTAATGGTTTTATCTTGAATTTGCATCAAAGTTTTATATAATGCTAGTTATTGACATTTTTTTATATATGTATAATGTTACATTTTGCATAAATGCTCTGAGCTTTCAATAACAAGTAGGACCTAACTTGGTATACCTGGATTACATTCACATAAGACCAACTGATTAACAGAAGACAGTTTCTGTAATACAGATTAATTAACAAATTTTATCATAGGTGAGATTTGAACCTTAGACCTGCTACTTGAAGGATGACAACCCAACTACTATACTAGAATCACCATCTTCTAATTTTATAAATTGGTTTTCTAATAATTATTATATTATACATAGTTATGCTTACTAAAATTTTCTTTAAAAAATTATATAAGAAAACCTTTCTTAGTAGTTTAGAAAAGTTTTTTTTGTCAATATTATTTTGACTTGCTGCTTTTTTTTAACTTGTTTTATTTATTTTAGTTTTTTTTTATTATCTTTTTGTTGTGTACTATGTGCATGTTGACTTAAAACCACCTTTATTTATGTTTAGTATCAGCCTCTATATTGTCTTTTTTATTATATTTTTATTTTTGTTTATTTTAACAATATATAAAAAAGAGTTTTTTATATTGTTTATTAATAATACACTTTATTTCAAAGAAAATAAAACCAAGAGTAACTTCATTAAAAAAATTTTTAAAAATTTATATTATTATTAATATCATATATATATTAATCTAAACTAAAAAATAATATAATATATATAATACAATCAACTTCTTTTAAGTGCAACTAATTAGTCTAGTTTCTTATTAAAACTTATAAAATTAATTCAAGTTTTTTATTTATAAAAGCAATAATTTTTTAACCAATATATATAATTATTCTTTCTAAATGCAAGGTATTGTATTAACCAATTAAATTGATTCATTTAATTACATGTTTTTCAGTGTAAGATATTTTTTTAACTTATTAACTTGCATTTAGAAAGAATTAGTTATATATTAATTTAGTTTTTTTTTTTTAAGGGAGAGTCTATTTGTCGCCGGTGGTAACAGATCTAAGCCAATCAAATTGCACAATTCAAAATCCTCGAACATTTCAAATCAAAATTATGTCTGTGAAACAAACTTCCGTGTCTTAAAAAAAATAAATATTCATGACACAATATTACTATATATTATGACCCTTTCTAACCCTAAATATAACTCCAAATACTGTCACCGCCGGCGACAAGTAGATTATTTCTTTCTTTAATTGCAAATTCTCACTAAAACACAAAATGACCAAGCAACAATCTTTAAATTTTTACGAAACCTGACTGTTAATGCACGCGTATTTGATTATTTAAAGTTTCGATACATTTCACCTAAAGTCATGTGAAGACCTATTATAAGATATCAAATGAGCGTGGTTACTGAGTCGATGAATGTTAATGAAACTAAATTTAATAACGATAATATTGAAGTTTTAAGTTATTCGATTAAATTAATAATAATGTCACAAACAATTATTACTAAATTATGATCAAAAAAAGAAATTTGTATAGGTAAAAAAAAATACTTTATTGAAACATCAAGTCATCTAGTGATCATAAAGTCAATATGATATTATTCGATGTTACATATTTCAATAAAAAAAAAATAAGAGAAAAAACAATAGTTCAGTAAAGTACACACGTTTATAAAATTTATAATGAACAGAAATTTAGGACGTGCACCTTCATATAATATATAGCAAGAAAAAAAATGATGAATGTTATATATAAAGTAAAATGAAATACAAAAACAGTGAAACAAAAAAAAAAAACTATTTACAACTTTTTTTTTTCTTTTTATAAATTTAGATTATATAACGATGCAGGAATAACATGTTGAAAAGTCACGTTTCACGTGATTTAAACTACCCACGCGTCAAAAAGTTAAATACATATAGATAACGTGCCTTGATTCCCTTAAGAGTAAAAAAAAAAAAGTTTTTTTTTCTTTGTACAAAAAATTCACAGGAAGAAATATACACTTCATACATAATTGCTCGTGTAAACATCTTCAGGCGTAGGGGTTAAACGTTCCTTATAAGAAGGTGGAGAGGATTCACGGGGTGTCAAAGTAGTGTTTATTTCCAATCTATTCTCTCTTCTATTTGCCAAATTCATCTTTTGTTGTTGAGTTAGATGATTTTCACCCATTTTCGGGGAATGTTGAACGTAAACCTGTTCAGGTGTGGCGTAAGGAGGTAACTTTGATGAATTGTTATTGGCATTAAATCTCGAAGGAGATATAGAAGGAGAAGGAGGTAGCACGCTATCATTCATATTAGTTGCATTAAGATGCGAAGCATTTGAAGTATGACGAGAGTGACTTGTAGGAGGAGGAGCAGGTCTTATAACAGGAACAGGACTTTGACTTTTTTTATTATATAATTGTTGTTGATGGTGAATGGCAGCTAATTGTTGTCTATACCAAAGGTCATTAGAATTTAAAGCGAAACCCTGAGGGTATAATTCACCATAACCATCAAGGCCTTCTTTTGCATTATTAGTATTATGAACATATGGAGTAGCTTCAATAGTATGAGTTTGTGGAGGATTATGCAGGTTTAATTTATAATTATAATCATTTTGATAATCTAAGTATACAGCGGTACCAACTTCATCAGGATCATAAGCAGGATAATATCCTTCGGCATAAGTTGGGTATACCTCAGGATGAACGTGGTGAACAGGATGAACGGGGTGAACAGGATGAACAGGATAAACAGGGCGAACATCAGAGGAAGGTATAACCATAGCAGTAGGCTGATGTTGTGGTCTGTTAAGATGTTGTGGAATGAGTTGTGGAGAAGGTTGTTCTGGAGAAGGAATATGTCTCTGTATAGGTTTCTCTTGATCATTATTTGATTTCTCTTGAATATTAGCGACTCTTACACTTTCTTCAACTTGAAAATCTTCGTTTGCACCCCATAAACAAAATTTTACACAAAATTGATGGGTGATACTGATAAAACGACCAGAATAGGTAGGTTGAATGCTACGTGGAATAAATAAGTTGATAGTATGAGCGTATTCACCATCCATATTTTGAGTTCTAATTTCTTGACGTGGAATAACCAAAGAGACAACATTTTCTTTAACATGACGAGTTTCATTTGGATTACTACATCTAAAATCCATACAACTTTTTAAAGCAACTTCAATTCTTTCAACACTAACACCAGGACGTAAGAATCTCATTCTTATGGGGATAGTGACATAAGTACCAAGGTTAAAACTCTTATTTGCAGGTAAATTAAAAGAGTAATCTACACCACTTTTTGATTCACCACGTAATTTATATAAAGCATTATTTGAATTGTCTGAAGTTAAAGTTCTTTTTAGAGGACATTCAATTTCAACAATTTGAGTTGAAGAAGACATTAAACCACCTTTACGATGAATAGTAGCACGAAGAATATAACTAACAGTACCAATTTCAGTAATAATAGTTTCAGGTAAATTATAAGGAAGTTTAATTTTAAATGGAACATCTAAATTTAAAACTTCTTTATCATTAGATCTCCAAATTTCTTGAGAATGATCAACAACGATTTGTTCACCAGTATAAAGAGCTTTTGTTCTAGCTTGAGCTCGATACCAAGTAGTTTTTTCAGTGCCTTTGAGATTAAGGGTAATATCTCTAACTTGATATTGTTTTCCATAATTTAAGTGTAAAGTACCGACTAAATAACTATCAGAATCACCTAGTATTCCTTGTTGAAAAGAAGTATTGTCGCCAGCATAAGAGAAAGAAACACTTTTATGAGATTTAATGTATGCGTTTGCGGGAGGACGATTTTTTGCAGTACTGCCAAAAAAGCTACCCGAATATGTTGAAGCAGTTGGAGAAGATAAAGTAGAAGACATTGTTTAAAAAACGAATTATGTCTTAAACCTCAAATTTCTTTAAAATTGATAAAAGAGGTTTTTTTTTTCTTTTTTTATTTTTATTTTTTTTTTTAATCTTGATTTTAAATGAAGGAAGGAAATAAAAAAGGAGGAGTGTTAAAAAATGTGAACAACCGAACCACAATAAAAACCTGCAAGAATAAAAAGATAAATGTAACAAACCTTTATATGAAAAAACGGGGAAACTCTTGTCAAACCAAACCGAAATTAATGAGATGCAAATAAAAATTAAGCAAAGCTCCTGAATAATTCTGTAGTGTAATGAAATGTTACAGTTGTGCGCACGCTTTGTTTTTCGTACGTACGAAAATCTTCGCTAACCACTAAAGAAAATTGTTTAACTTATTTGGGTAATTAAAATTTTATTTAAAATCAAATGAAATTTGTTTTTTTTTTTTTTGTTTTTTTTTTGATATCGATATCGATATTATTTTTTTGAAATATTGATAGGAGCGCACTTGAAAAATTCAATGAAAAAATACCTTCAAGGCTTTTTATAAATAGTAATTAGGCACTAATATTTTCCCTTTTTTTTTTTTTTAAATCAGTATAATAATGATAAAAGTTCTTGATAGTGTGTGACCGGGTGTAACACAACAGATTTCATCATAAACTTATACGATAGACATTATCTTGGAACAAATCAATCAATTGCTGTAATTTTTAAATTTGATTTTTTTTATTTATTCACAATATATATATATATATGTTATCAATGGTTGAATAATTATGATATGTATGTTTTATAGTTGTCAAGATAGTGGAAATATGCTAATAAATTTTATTTATATTTGAGCTTATGTTGGTACTTATTCCAAATTATTTAATTTTCCGATCACAATATGCTATTCGTAGCTAAACTATGGTTACCTATTATTTAGTTTTGATAATGGCGAATATTACTATAAAACATTATATAAAATATATATATATATATAAAAGTATAAAGTATATCAGTGTATATCAATGGTAATACGTATATTATCAAATTTATTCTAACTATATATTAAATGTAATTTATTCATTTATTTACTCCTGAACTTTATATTCTTTTCCCTCCAAAATCAAGACCCTGAAATTCAGATTTTCATTCGTTTCGTGTCACAATGGGTGTCACTATAGATAGTTAGATAGTGGATGACCGAATGGAGCGATTCAAAAATAGCCCAAAAAAAAAAAGATACGGAAGCTACGGATGCTACGTGTTCCGCAACGCCACATTATATGCGAAATGAAAATTTAAATCTGATTATTAATTTTTTACGCACACCTAATTATTTACCGTGATCATAAGGCATGTGTTCTTTGTATGTATATACATATATGCGTTACATGCATATATATATATGCGTTACAGCGTGTGTACATTCCCTAATTACAATGTGTCGTGTGACGAATAATGAACAAAAAGTTTTATATGAATTTCAAATTTTGCTATATAAGGAAATTCTTTGTTTCTTCAATATAAGTAAACTTGTGTATAGGAATAAAACCTTAAGCATAATTATTGCAATTAAAATACGCATGTACGAATATACGACATCTTACCATACAGCAAGTTATTGCATACGTACTGTACATCATTCGACTCTTTGACGTTAATCTCAAAGATAATAATACATACCCTACGAATGCATAAATTGTTATTCGTTGCAGCACATCATCGATTAGATATATGTACTTGTGTCAATACAGCAATAGGGACTGCAGGAAAATGGAGGTAAACTTAGCATATCTTAGCATATCTTAGCATATATGTGTAATTACGTTAATTATGGCAAATACATACTAATTATGTGCGTACTGTCTTGTAAATGTACATTCTTTATTTCTTTTATTAATAAACTTACCAATGTAGTGTTGAACTGATCCACATGCAACAGTTAAATGCATTTTCGGAAGTATCTGGGTCATTCTTGAAATTACTGAATTATGTTAATTATGCTGTATTATTTCATTAGCTTCAAACCGACTGGTCCTTACGATAATACAAAGTATAAAAATCGATTATCGTCATTTCAAAGAAGAATCAAGGTTTAGGTATCACGATATTACCAAATTTAGGAAAAAACAAAATGATATGTGTTTCTTTTAGTAAGGTGTATTACTGACTTCAATCGTAATTTGGATCGTACATTTACTCGGATAAATTCTGTCATCCTGTAAAATGATCAATAAATCAGTCATTTTGTTGATTTACTTGTATATATTATGGATATTCGCTATCTGAAAATCTTTTTCATTTAAGAAGAGATTGACAACATATATGGTGAAACTGTCTAGAACTGCTTACGTACGTAATACAAATCCCAAAATTCATTCCTATCATATGTTTACTATTTTTTAATGTGCGTTACATATCGATTATGCATTAAAAATATATGCATTCATTGTTGACAAACTTTAGCGGGGACACATCCTTGGCATCAATGCATTAAAGTTATGCTCCAAGCATCATTACTATCATTATATTTTAATATTTCAAATATTCGCCTTATGACTGAAAGAGCACCGTTACTTATGTATGTACGTACGTACTTCTTATACAAATTTTATTAACAATGAAATACCCAAGAAATGTATAAATATGCATAAATTATAAAAGTACCTATAAAACTAATTATTGAATGCCTTACCTGTTTAATTTATGTGACTAGCTGACTGTGTCTTCCTATTTGGGTTCACTCTTATCGTTATGTTGCTATTTTCAGATATCGTACCATTGATACCTTATCACTTTCATTGAACTTGTTATTTATTATTATAAATGTTATTTTTTCGTAATATTGTGTTCGAAAACTTATCGGACTTCTAATCCACGTGATAATTACACGAACTTGAAACCCAGAATTCACTTAAATTTTATCGTCCTTCATCTTATAAAGTTCCTTTAATAATATTCACCAATACCGATACTGTATTTTTTATTGGTAAACAAATTTCAGCGATTGGTTACCTTTTTTATTTGTTTACTATATGTGTTAAACAAAACTTGAAAACTCTCAAAAATTTTATTTAATTTTACTTCATATTGACCTTTATATATTTGAACATCTTACTATATTCATTCACTATGTAGTGTAAACGGTAAAAAATTCTATCGTTATACAAAACTCACGTTTCTAAAGCGTGTGTTAGCTTCGCGTAAAATATATTTAGTTGCATTGCATAAAATATTTTGTTTGGTATAACTTTGATGAACAAATGAAATTAATCTTTATTCTTTTTATCTGATTGGTTTTTTCTACCATCACAACCTTTTTCTTTTTTTGCTGTCAAGTATCATAATATTTCAACTCCTGAAAAAATGTGTAGTTAAATTTATTACTTCGCTAAATCTTTTTTTAACGATGCAGTAGCATGAGATTTATAGCATGTAAATACATGATTTTAATTGACAAAATTATTGGGCTATATGTTGTTTATATGTTATCTTTAAATCTACAAAACATGACTGTGACATACTGCATAAATGTCACTACCAAGCTTTTTATAGAACGATCACTGGTCAAAATCTAAAAAAATCCGACACGTCGAATGACACCATTCAGCTCCATTCAACACACCATTCGACCAAAATATTGTCGATTGTTTTTGTTTGTCGATTGTTTGTTGATTGTTGATTGAATGGCATGTCAAATGGGTTTGCATTAGGGTAGGAGGCACGGTAAATTTTCGGGCATACCCTATTTATCGTGCCTTGGGCATTAGGGATGTTAAGTAGTCTAGTCCACAATGGACGGTTTGGATCGGGTCCGGGACTTTTAAGGACTGTTCAAAACTGGTCCAAAACCAGTTCAAACAATCACATAGTATAAGCCAAGTTTCATTTTTGACACAGAATATAATTTAATAAATATGAATCATGAACGAAACTTATAAATGGCAGTAATTTTAAAATTAGATACTTTCCGTTTCAGATGGGCCCTGCTTTAATCATATTAGATACTCCGATTGGTTGCTTAAACTTTTACTCCAGTTTTTAATAAATTTTTACTTTTAAATGGCAAGTTTTCTTTTTAAGGTAGCCCTGCTCTAAATAATATAAAGTGCCCGATTGGTACATTTCATATAAACGCATTGCAACTTCAATAAAATTTGAATTATAAATGATAAAGTAAATGTTTTGTAATTGTACTTTCGCCTTTAACTTTCAATAAAATTTTTCTCGCGAATGGTACTTTCAAACGACAATGATTTAAATTGGATTTTTCTTTCAGGTAGCCCTGCGTTAAAATTCAATAATTAGACGATCAATAATATAAAGTACTCTGATGGATGAATGTACTTCTATTAGTGAATGTTAAAATCAAAATTGGTAAAAGCGTTACAATTGTTGCTTTTATTCTAGTTTTTTTCCCATCACTACATCAGACTATAAAGTTGTTAGTCTAGAATTCTTGTTTAATGATGTTTTTTCATCTCAATTCACAATAACAGTAATGTGAATTGAAGTATAAAAGGATAAACAAAATCTGATAACAAAACGAATAAGGTTAATTGTCATTATCATCATAAAATTAAGTGAACATATGGAATCTGTACATAAGATTATAATATTATCAGTCTAAATTGCTTCAGTTTACTCAATATAATGATAATTGTTTCTTAAACCTTTAATAGAATTTTATTTTATTAGTACTTAATAAAATTGTAATATAATTACATTAAATTAAATAATTAAGACAATTTTTTTTTAACAATTTATTTGTTAAAAACTTGATATTAGTTTAACTATTACATAATGGTTTTGTTATTTATTATTAGTATAAATTTGTTATATTTTATTAGTATAAAAAACAATGTTTTTACAAAAAATTCCAACTTTCAGAAAACTTTTATATTATATTGTTTTTAAATAGTAATATTTTTTGAATGCTTATACTATTTTGGATCTATTTACAATATGATTTCTTTTTCAAATAAGAATTTTTTAACAACCAACATAATTCTGATAT